CCGTAATGTGCAAGTTTACTGACTAATCGTTCGTGCGGCACCGTGTCAAAAGCACGGCTGAAATCGAGGATACCCATGTCTACTTGCAACTTGTTGTCGTGTGCTGACACAAGGTCGTCAACGGTGAGAAGCAGTTGGGTTTCACAAGAATGAGCTTTGCGAAATCCATGCTGAAACGTTGTGAGAAGATTGTATTTTTCAAGATGGTTCAGAATGTGTCTGCACAGGACATGTTCCATGAGTTTAGAAATTACACAAGTCAGAGATACTGGCCTGTAGTTGCCTGGATCGTGTACTCCACCCTTCTTGAAGACAGGTGTTACCATGGCCTTGGTCCAGTCTTCGGGTACACATCCACGTTGCAGCGACTGGTTGAAGAGTGCTGCGAGTACAGGAGACAACTCGCCAGCCAGCTCCTTGAGGACGCGATTTGGGATCTTGTCCGGGCCGGATGCCTTGTGTGGCTTGATAGCATTCAGGAGTTTGCGTACACCGGCCGGATGCACTGTAAGATCCGAGATTGGTGGGTGTGAAGGGCCCAACCAAGGGACACAGCTCAAGTCCTCTAATACGAACACAGACTTGAACTCTTGAAGCAAGATGTAGGCTTTGTCTTTGGCATTTGAAAACAAGTTTCCATTATGCTTAAGGGGTGGAACACCAATAAAGTCTTGACGTTGGGCTTTGATGAACTTCCAGAAGGGTTTCTGGCTCCCTTCTTCTAGTCCCTCTTTGATAGAACTGTGGATGTACTTGCCCCTGGCGCGCTTGAGGTCACGTGCTGTCTCTTTTTTAATATGGCGAAATTGTTCCTGGTGTACTGGATTCTTGGATTTCTTCGCCTTCTTATAAAGACGGTGCTTTCGCCTAGTCTTGCGCTTCAGTTCTGCGTTCATCCATGGTAGATGCTGACGCTTGGACGTGGTCTTTGATGGTATGTGTGAAGAAACAAGGTCAAGGATTTTGTTCTTCAAAGTTGTCCAGTTCTCCTCGACAGTGTGTTTGTTAATACTGTTGATGAATTCTTGGGCAAAAACGTCAAAGAGTTCTCTAATCTTGCCCCAGTTGGCCTTGGAGAAGATGTAGATCCTTCGCGGAGCCTTCTTTGTGTAAGTTGGGACGATATCGCAGTCAGCCACGATGACGTCGTGGTCATAGGCAATGCCAGGAAGAGTTGTCAGTGTTTTTACCAAACTCGGTTTAGATGTAACAAAGAGGTCCAGCAGGCGACCAAACCTTGTCGGCTCACGCTGCATCTGGGACATACGGTTGTCATTAAAGATGGAAATGAGACGCTCAGACGGCACCCGCTCCCGGGAGTTCCTAGGAACAGATTCTGTTTCCCAGTCCACGTCACCCAGGTTGACGTGGACTGTTGACGTGACGTTCAGGCTATTTCAAATGCTTCAAGTATGAGATGATAAAAATGTGCCATGAAATGGCACAAGTGTCAATATTAGGCAGATTTCCTCTTCTAGAATTTTACCTAATGTTTCATGTTGATTTCAGACAAATTTCCAAAACACTACAACAAACAAAGAAATCATACATCTATGGAAATTGACCACACACTTTTTTGTGACGCTTCACACTTAAATAGCTTCCTTGCAGCGGCATAATTGGCAGAACACAATGGAGGTATCTGTATCTGTATCTGTATAGCCGGTATAACCGCCTTTCGACTCTTCGCAGGCACGCGGCGCGGCGGCAGCTGGCTATATTACACCGATCGACTTGTTACACCTAACCCTTGAACTTCTAGCTCTAGACTTTGTTTAAAGCTAGGTAAGGTTGCAATGCCTAAAACATGTACCATCATCCTTTTCCTTGAGGATGTCTCCTGTGGACTGTTTGACCCCGCCGCTGATGAAGTCAATACCAGTGGAGTAGTTCTTCTTGTTCTTCCCTCCAAAACTGGGCCTCTCATCATCATCACTGTCATCTCGGGCCCAGATACCTGAGGTAAAAGATGACAACTTGAATACTTTTTTTTTCACAACTGGGAAACTCTTGAATTTCATCAAAATTTCTGTTAAGTCTTGGGCATGGACATATTTTCATTACTTAATTAGGTAAATAAACTAATAAAATTGTCAGTGGATCGAAGGATACTACTTCATCAAGTACAAATCCTGTCTAGTCAAATTCCATCATAAAATGCCCACAGCAATTTAGAAAAATCAGCTTTTTCAACGGTCAACATTGCATCAGAATTTTGCCTGTTGCAGACAATATTTTTTCCGTCATAACATGTGGAAACTACAGACTGAGTGTTAGTTATATGCGCAAAGACGACTTTATAATATGAGACATTCTGCAGAAGTGCTATGCACAATGCATTACAGGTTTCAACGGTGCTGCACCAACATGAGGTTATTGGGTTGGACTGCTCTACTTCTAAGATAGGGGGGTTTGTTGCAGGTAGTGGACAAATGGTTCACAGTGGGTGCATACATATAAGTTATAACACCTACCGTAGATGTTGTGCTCCTTGCTGGCCTGATATCTTTTCCTCGCTAACCCTGAGGACAGGCCGAACTCCAGGTCCTCATCCGTCACCTCAAAACGCTCCACCTCGTGGTCCGAGTCGTATCCCGCCGCCATGGTGACGGCAGTGGTTCTCTGGATATCTACCTGTGAAAACAATGTAACAAAAGACAACTGATGATGTGTACTTCCGACATGCCTAAACAGGTCTCACCCTGCCTCAACTGACTGTGTCCGGGCCTAATATATATATATAAGTAACTAGAAAGGTAACATTTGCAAAGCAAATGCATAATGTTTACCTTCATGGTCAGACAGGAGTCTACATCCCTGCTGCTTTAAAACTGCAGTTACCATGGTAACAGACAGTCTGCTTCAGGTCATTGGCCAGGTCAAAGGTTAGTGTTTGGAACAGAAGAAGCAAAAACAATATGTTTCCTTCGATAAACATTTAACTTATGCAGTGTTGCAAGGGTTATGCAGTTAAATAATAACCCAGTTATAATATTTTTTCAACATGCCCCCCTCCCCCTTACATCCACGACGTCTGCCCTACGTCCGGGAGATCGAGAAAAAAACCTCTTCGGCCGACATTACCTCCACACAGAAGCTCCAGGGGTCGGGGATTCTATACAGACTCACACTAGGCACCCGAAGAAGACACCAAACGTCTGCTTTCACGACATTATTCACGACATGTGATGTTGTGAAGCTTGAAGCATGGATCACGAACACAAAGCTCTTTTCCTGTCGTTTGTAAAAGAACCGCTAGACGTAGCTTGAAGTTAAACCGCACCAACATGCTAACAAGTTAAAGATTTGACAGATATAGAGTCTGTAAAATGTTTGGTACAGAAAAATATTGTCTTTACTTGTTAAATAAAACAGTAAGTACACGATATTGTGAAAATGCGACATTAATGGAGTAAATAAACGGTTTTATTAAATTCTTTACGTTTGTTCACCGTGTGTGCTGTACACGTAGCACTGGTCCGGCTATCTGATATTTTTGTCGGATCAACTTTCAATATTGTTTGTGGTAAGTACTGGTTAATGTTCATGTTATTTTACACATGTTATAGAGCTGCACCAGATTTCTGTAGCACGAAAATCTCACTTATTTGGCATATCAGTGACTGGGGATGTTGATTTCTTGAGTAGAAGTGGGGAGGGGGGCAGCCATCTTGCCGTCTGCAAAAAATATGTAAAGATCAAGGTTTAATCTGATTGTTATGTAAAGAAATGTGTGACCAGTCATATTTAGATATAAACTGTTTTTGTTGGCTGACATTGGTTGATGTATTTGTGTCATATTCAACACATTCACCTGTTAAAGTTAACAGCTAAAATTATAGCTAAATTTATGGTTAAATAAATTGTTAACTAAGTTAAAATTTATTTATTTGCTTGGACTTTTATATAATAAGACCTCAACTCAAAAATGAAGTGCACCTATATCTTAGGCAACTTCGTTTCTGTCTTTTTGCTTTTTGCGACTTCATGTATTCAGTAAAATCTGCTCAAGTCCTTTACCTGGCCAAATATGTGACAAAGATTTTTGACTTCATCTTGTTGACTTCATCCAGGCTGCAATATACCTGCTATCTTCTAGTGGTGCTGGCTTAAACAGTGGTGGTGGTGTTCTTCGGTACCTCTCTGCTACTTCTCCCTTTCTGTCTCCTGCAAGTTGCACCCCAGTGGTAACAGAACTTATGCCCTATCAAAAATAACATGGGGACAACAGAACCTGTATGAAGCGTCGGCCCCACATCCATGCTATTGCGGCGGTCCAGTCACGACAAGATGGCCAAAGCGATGGCGGGCGGGCGGCGGGCGCGGCACACGTCGTGGAATGCGCCCAACGCGGAGCTGGGGAACCTGTACGTGTTCGGGGATGACGTGGAGGAGGAGGAGTTGTTGGAGGAGGACGCGATCGAGATGAGACCGCGGGGGGAGAGGCGGCGGGAAGAGCGGGGACGGAAGGACGAGAGCGACACGGTGCTACTGGACAGGACCATCATGCCGGGGGACACGCTACAGACGTTCGCACTGCTGTATGGATGCACGGTAAGATATAACTTCTGCATTGTATCGTAACAATGGCATTTCATGTGTTTATTTACCTTCGCCAAGAAGGTTATGTTTTCAGCAGCGTTTGTCCATTTGTTTGTTTGTTTGTGAGCAGCATAAATCATGATGATATTTGTTGCGTGGATAGGGTGGCCCCAAATCTCAAAATGTTAAGATTTTGGGGCCCCTGGCGGCTTTCCTTGGTAATGCAGCAAAACTTGCGGTTTTGATATGTCATGATCTAGACATGCTAGGGTGACAAATTTTGCATGGAAGATAGCTCTTGTGCTCAGGAAAAAGTGTCATTAGTTTAGTCCCCATGGCAGCTTGTTCCAGGCTGTGTTTCTACTAGTACATATATTTGGGCTATATTTGTTGTTTATGACAGTGGATAGTGTGTGGATAGTGATAGTGTGTTGTTTATGACAGGAAGTTAAATGCTCATTTCCTTTGCAGCTTGCAGACTTGCGCCGTGCAAACAACCTCATGTCTGATCAGGACTTCCACGCGCTGAAGACGATAAAAGTTCCCGTCAAGCGACACGGACTTCTGACGGCGCGGGAAGAGGAGGACAGAAGAAGGCGTCAGTTTCGCCGTGCGGACAGCGACATTATAGAATACGGCCTGGACGCCCCCGGAGAGGGGACGAAGGCGAATGGACGCGACGCGTATGCAGAAATGAACGACATTCGCGGTTACCTGACTCAGATGGACGAGGAAATGGACAGAATACGACGCTCCACGCCGGAGCGCGAAGAGACGTTTGAACCGTACGAGACGCGGGCTTCCCTGATGGAATGTCGGAGATACATCAATAGAGAAACAAGCAACGGGGCGGACGGTGGCATCAGATGGTGGATGGCCCTTCTGTGTATGATAATTGTAGCGGTTGTCTGTCCATTGCTGTATTTCCTGTACTTCCACAGTAGGAATGATGCAACAAAGAAACCATAGGTTCCCAGTACTTGTAATTAATTGTATAGTGTGTAGTTTTCCTTCTTTATGGACATTTTTAGTGCTGCCAAATAGCCACAATAAAAGTGTACAATGAAATGTATCATCAGCTATCCTGTGGTATTAGCTGTTCTGTACATGTCTTGGTATATCACAGTTTTCATCCTGCTACAAATGATAACACTAATATTGATCTCTACACACCCCCAAAAATGGCATAACAAACCACTTGACTGACTTGCTATTATCAGAATAGGATATCAAAATCTTCTCCTTGTTTTGGGGTAAATCAAATTAAGCCCAACTTGCTGTTTGGTACACTCAATATCCTTTTTACCTCTTTCACAATCACAGCCTTGTTTTTTCCTTGATTAAAATTGTTCTGAAAACTATCTTGTAACTATTAACCTACCTTTCATTTTCAATTATTGTCTTCTCTGTGAGTTAGGCAGTATCTGAAGGAGGTGTTTTTTATTTCAACTGTACACTTCAAGAAAAGTCCTTTTGGCATATGTGGTAGCACACAATTACAGTTTTTAGAAAGACTTTAAAATTGAATGAATCAGTGTTGTGTCACAAAAAGTTGTTGCATGTTTTCTGTATGTACATGTTATTATTATTATTACAATAGCAACTTACAATTGCAAATGCTTGTTTGAATTTTGATACCCAATCTTACACATGTACTACACATAGAGCCACCTTCCTGTTTGTGGCTGTGATTGTTTCTGAGCTTTTGGCTTATTTTGAATTTACCTCAGATTGCTGAACAGCAGACTTGGGCAACAAGTATTGCTACAGTTTGAAAGAAATGCCATACGCAAATGTCATAGCAAAATCTCATATATAGTTGGCTTTGGATTAAACTCACTCTCAGTATCAAAATTGATGCTGACTATCAAAAGAAAAAAAAGGGGGCACATTTGATATAGTGTTGTGCTTTTGACTTGTTTCCCCTTTTGGCAATGCTTAATGCTGACTTTTGTTAAAAACCATGTTTTGCAACATGTACAGAATGTGTGCTTCCCGTAAGGTCTTCGATGCAATGATTTACTTTAATTGTTGTGATTGCATAACATTGCTTTACTCAGGTAAGGTTATCTACATTATTGTGTATGAGGAAAGACTTGGAAATGAACACAGCGTTTTGGATTAGTTATTACACTGTGAGAAATGGTCAAATTAATTAAAGGCATCCAGTGTAGTTTTTAGGGCTTGGCCACCAGATTTTTCAGAGCCAATATTCGAATTCTAGTCATTTGTCTACATACTGAGTTGAAACCACACTGTATCCCAATGTATATTAACCCTCAATGGAGCAAAAAGTGCCCCAATTTCTGACAGAAAATAGTTACTGGAAGGGCCCTGGGCTGATTTTTAAGATACCACCCAGAAAATAAAGGACTCATCTTTTGGTATGGTTCTGCAGTTTTTAAAAGCCCAAGGTATGAAATGTTGACTCAAAAGTGCCAATGTAAAGCAGTTCATGTACACTGTATGTGTCAATATCACAAAGATTGCCTTATTCAGAATATTTCCAGTTTTGCTGCCCTGAAATTGCATTGGATGCCTTTAACATTGCATAATGCAGTACTACACATCTCTGCTGTCTTACATGTACATGTAGGCCCCCTAGTCCTGCTATATGAGGCCACACCAATTAAAATTGTTGGTTCTCAGATTTTCCAGAAAGAGTATGAAGTGGCGGGTAGAAAAAAAACAACCTAAAAAACAAAAAAAGCCTATACATCCTATGATAGCCCCAAATGCTACGATAGGAGCCATGAAGCCAATGTACCAGGCTGGTGTATAATTCAATGAATTTTTAACTTTTAATCAAATCACAGCACTGATAGTTGTAAGAAAAACAACTAGGAATAAAAAAACTTTCTCCAACTGTTGGGCCCAAACATACCAGTAGCATTTGGAGATTGATACAGACCTTGTCTGTATCAATACAAAATAAAGAGTGATTCCGAGAACTGTTCACTAAATTGGTGTGGCCTAATGTGCAACAGAATGTATAACTTAGTCTATAAACATCTGTGAACCAGCCTTCCTGTATCAGGAAGTCTCTCCACCTAAACATGTACACTGTGATTATAAAGATGAACATCTTCAGTGAACGAAAAAAATCTCTTGCATATGGCAAAAGCCATATTTTACAAATGCTATCAATCTCTATGCCCTGTTATTTTTTAAAATGTTGAATTGTCCTTATGAAAGTATTTGATCAGAAACATGTGAAGTACAAAATTTAGATATCTTGTATAAAGGAAATGTGATGATTTGTTTCTTGAGTAGATGGATTTATTATTTATCCAGAAGTTGCTGCAGAAATAGTATCTGGAAACCCGTTTGCAATGTAGGTGGGAGAAATTGTCAGTTTGACTCTACATCTAAATCAAATTTTGGTGTCTGTTTGTTTGAAAGTCCCATAATTGTAACTGAAATTGGACATTTTTTCTGACTTTTTAAAACGCGCTAAGTGGAAGCAGACCGGTAGATTACTTTGAGTTTTCCAATACGTTTCAGGCATTATTGCACAGTTTAAGAGTACAGGATACATCTAATGCCAGTTAACTATGGTCTAACTTCTCAGTAAAATATTTTAGATAGGACAGGGATATGAAAGAAAAGCTTATCACAAATGGCTGGATAATCACTTTGGGGCCAAGTAATTTTATGAAATAATATGATAATAATAACTGTGACTTGAAGCTACACAGAATCTTTTGAATCACTTAAAAAATGAGAAGCTACATGTATGAATGGTTTGTATCATCTCATCATGATTCTGATACATGATATCATGTACAGTACTTGTACATGGGTCGTCCCATTCTAATCTGAATTCTCACCAAGCTATATCTAGAGGATACCTTTGACATGTATTTATGAGACTGTATAATGGAATAAAAAAGATTTTATCATTAAATGTTCAATGGTTTCATACTTAAAGTACTACAAATACATTTGTTGTCAGTGGAATATTATTATATATTTACTTCAAGGAATCCAATGCAGTTTCCGGGGTGGCAAAACTGGACTTTTAAAGTTAATTTTCTGGTCTTTCTTTTATTTCATACTTGAATCAATCGCATTCCATAGCATACTGATATCTGTGTGCCAAAAATGCGATGTCACTGATGGAAACGGTTGCTTGATATAGCTACATGAGGCGTCTCAGTCTTTATTTTTTGAGGCCCATAGATAGCTAGAACCAGCCTACCATACGAAATAATAATAAAGAGATGCCTCATATAGCTACATGTAGTTTTGGGCTATTTCAAACGCTACGAGTATCGAATGACAAAAATGTACTAAGAAATGGTAATAAGTGTCAATATTAGATTTCCTCATCCAGAATATTGTTACCTTTGCCAAGAAATGGGAGCATCGGTGACAATTTCTAGAAGGGGAGTAGAGAAAGATGCTTTGCTTCATATGTACATTATCTTTTTGCAAACTTGAGGGACAAACATAGAATGGGACTGGGGGTTATCTTATCTTGACTGTAGCTCCAATACAAACAATAACGTTTATTTTAGTCCTGTATGTGTGCTATGAATTCCTAACTCCCCTACATGTATGTTCAGCACATGATACATCAACATTATATGACACTTCTAAGGTCAAAAACAGCTTTATTTGACAATCGCCATGGTTTGTTGTAAGGAAAAAAATATGTAAGAACAAATCTCATCAATGCTTTAAAGGGCATTGAATTTGGCATGTACATGTACATAGCATGTATTACAGATGTCTCACAAATGGGAGGCTATAACTTTCACAGACGCCTCCTTGGTCTCATGTACTGCACTAAGAGTGGTCATAATGGCACCTTTATAAGATCTGCACAGTTTACATGGCACTGAGCACGACATTGCTGAGATAAAATCATTGTATTTTAATCTTCATTATACATTGTGATGTTACTTGTATGCTACAAATTTAAAGTATGCGTAGTTCTCAAACTGACAACAAATCATCCAATACAGGTACAAGCTATAGGCGCTTGCGTCCACCTTATTACATTAATAGATGACATTCAAACATCAGCAAATATTTAATATACTAACAACAGCCTGCAGTATACATAGATGTGCGTGTAATAATAACGTTATCAACAACAGTTAAACCTGTTCACATCTTTCAAAAGGTGGACACATTTTCTCACTAATCGACATACATTTGTATATACACTGTATATGTAAGACCATTTACAATTTATCACACTGCACCATATACCTTTTTATAACCTAACAAAGCAGTCTGTAACAAGCAATAATCCCACAGCCAACTTAAAAACATGGTGTTTATATTTGGCAAGCTCATAGTTCTCTAGCATGCTTGGTATAGTGAAAATAGTAATATCAGTTCTGAAATATATGAAACTGTCAGTCGAGAAAAAAAAATACAGAGAAAAGCACTTAGATATGAAAATATATTGTAAACCAGAGCCAAAAATTTCTTTCTTGCCATGTATAGATTTTTTTTTCAAGAAAACCTGAATTGGTTTGGCCTCAGAAAGGTACAGGACACCAAGAGAAAGTAATTTTTGATGAATACTATAGTAAGTAATTTTCAGTTGGAATGTGTAAATCTCCTATCTGTATCTATATTGATAAGTAAGTATAATTGCCATTTTAATAACAAAGCTTGGCAAGATAAGAGGTTTTATTGTTCTTTGTTGGAAAAATATACATTTTTCTTCAAACAATGCATCATAGCTCTTTTAATTACTGCTATGTAATTGCACATGATGGCAAGATCAAGTTTCTCACATACACTACAATATCTAGACTTCAGTCAACATCAAGGGATTTCTAATTGCAATTCCCGATAGAGCACTAAATACAAATGCATAGCAGAGCAACAAATTCTACAAAAGTCTATTTTGAACATGAATACAATCATCAAACAGCAGAAGTCATGTCAACCTTGGACGTAAAAATAGTTTGCCATTCACACAACACGCTAACCAGAATAATCCTCGATTCTCTATCCCTGGGACAGTGTGGTGGGTTTCTATAATGTAGATCATTCCTCTATATGATCTCCACGAATGTTAGACGAATCAAACTCGGCCCAGTCAACTCGGCCCAACACCCTGGTCAACTCAGCCCACTGGTCAACTCAGCCCACTGGTCAACTCAGCCCACTGGTCAACTCAGCCCACTGGTCAACTCGGCCCAATATCCAGAGACAGCAACTACTAGTAACTGAAGGTAACAAACAGTCACACACAGTCTTCTCTGCAGTCATTGGCACTTGATCATTGGAAATGAAAGATATCTATTTCAAGTTTCAAAAACCCAAAAGTCAACTGTTGAAGTTGTCTGACAAAGATATTTGGTCTCTATAAAAATCTAAAACTCGCATTGATTGCTTCTATAAGTGCCACCAGAAGTCAACAGTTCAAACTTGCCGGACAAAATAAACAGAATATTCGTTTATGAGAAAATGTAGGACACTGCTTTTTATTCTGTTGTCTATTGTGAATATCCGGCCCAGGGTTTCGGGCCGAGTTAAACAGGGCATTGGCTGTTGGACCAAGTTGACCTGGGCATTGGGCCTAGTTGACCAGATTTGCAATGGGCCAATCAATAATCCAAGTTGTCCTGATGATAACTGTCTCTGTGTAGTCTGGTCCGACTGCTCAGGGTCTGGCCATGACAAATCCCAGCCCGATGGCACACAGGGCAGCAGCCGAGGCCCCCAGCACCACACCCCACTTCCACATCTAACAAAAGGACAACATATCATGGATTAATCTTCAGACAGATGCACTAGAGATGTACCACAATACTGTATATTATGCCATGAATAGATTCAACAGGTTGGTAAGTCACTGAATAAACAGAAACTAAGCAATCAAGCCAACATTTCAGTGACCGTCTGTGACCCCTATTCTGTCACCTGCATGTACAGAAGGTGACAGACAGTCACCAAAACATTCACTGTATAAAACATTACTGATTGTGTGAAAAGGAGTCTTTTTATTCTGTACTGTATAAACTGTTATCTGCTAAATGACAGGGAAGGACATGGTCTGGAGGAAATTAAAGGAAAAGAAGGGTAGAACAATTTTGTTGTTGTTTTGCATTGTTTTGATATGTATACACACATACACATGCAAACACACACATGCGCACACACACACACACACACAGACACGCACACATGCAAATGTACACACACATGCAAATGTGCACACACGCGCACACGCAATAAGGAAAGCAAATACACTTTGCATAGTTGCACTTACATTTGCTGAAGAACCACCAGCACTAGGAGAGTTGCCGATGTCTCCCATCATTTTCCGGTACATGTGTCTCTCTCTCTCCTTCTGGGACGTCTGCTGCTTTACTAGTTTGGACAGTTCATTGTGGATGATCTAGAGGAACATAATAGGAAAATACACAATGAACATATCACTAGTATAGCAGAAAATGTCTTTAAAATGGCTACGGGACACAAGACACAATAGAGACATTTCTAAACAAAGGCGACATTCAGAAAGACGTGAAGTTTACTGAAAAATGACATTTTGTTAAAACTGGAACTAGACATTTTAATATCCATACTCTCCTCACATGTCATGTAGTCACTCCCCTAGGAGACAATCCATTATTTAGCACAATGCAGGCTTCAGCTATTAGTGTCAATAAACCTATTAGCATCTTCCTGATAATTAACTGTCTAGATTGCCTTTGAAAGCAAGTACTTTGCATGATACTGGGGCATGTTTTTCATATGGATGCAAGTTTTTACAGTTTTTCCAGACATTTTTTAAATTGGAAACACAAAAAAACAAGTCCTCGTATGTAAAAGACCCGTATATAATGACACAAGGAAGACATTCATTTTCAAGAATGTCATAGTCCAGTAGCCTTTTTATAGTCTAAGATATTTTTGGCTCTACTATTGATAATGACTACCGGTAATAATGGATCACTGTAGACTTAACCCAAGATTTTGGAAGCCTAGCTTAGTAGCCCTCAGTCTTCTGGAGTCTACAATTAAGTAAAGGTATAGCAGTCCGACTTTATTCTCAACTTAATGCTTTTTCAAGTAGCTACGAGTAATAGTGCAATGTAGCTTTGCTACAGCTCGCGTTTTATAGCCAAGCACACCAAGTCACCCCTACTCTTCTCCATAAGTGTGTAGGGTTTTTTATGTGCTAAGGTTTGGTACTCGAGGCTCCCTCATACACAGGGCCGCCGGCTTTACCTCTCCATCCAAATTGACTGCAGTCGCTCACAACATGTCTGAGGTGAGGCAACCCTAGGATCAAACTCGCGCCCGTGGGTCCACGGAATTTGACACATATAGCCAACCAGCATGATTATGTTACCAACTGCACAATTAATAATTTGAAATGATCACTAGCCGCAAAGTTGAAAATTCTCCCCCCCCCCACCTTGGTTTCAGGCTCCAGACTAATAGCCTTCCGTAGGCAGCTGATGGCTCTGTCCAGATTTCCCTTCCCAGCATACACCTGGAAAAAAGTACACTTAGTGATACTTCTCAAAGTCTGAATATGTTGCAGGTAAAACTTGCCTGGTGCAGATAATTTAATGACAAATAATGTTACAATGTGCTGGTATGCAGAAAAAAGTATTTCAAGCCCTGGCAATGTACCATGCTCAGAGAATCAGAAGCACACCTTTCCAAGTCTGAAGAGCCCCTTCACGTTGTCTGGATGGATGGCCAGGACTGCCTCACATGACTTCTTGGCTGTGTCATAGTTCTTTGCCTATTGTTGAAAAAATGCCAATACATGAGGTACAGGGAATCATTATAAGCACATCTGCCAGTACACAAATCCAGTATTTTTCTTTGTTGAAGAAATGAAAAATAAGCAATTTAGATGTGTGACAAGCTCTTAAAAAGGAAGCTTGCACCATGAAAGCACCCAATAAATTTAGCCATTGTCACTGCCCAGTTTGTAACTGTCAGCAGTGCTGTACACATGGGGAGAGGTTGAGAGAAGGTATATCCACTCCTCACAACACTTCATTATGGTGTTGAGACAACAGACAAGACATGGATATGCACATGAAACATAAATGTCATCTTTAACTAAACAACATGGGTATAGAGAAATAACTATACAGGCACACTCAGCCTATCCTGGTAAATTGGACCTTTGGGTGGTCAGCTCTTCAGAACTGGTTCCAGCATTGCAACTAGCCACCAAAAGTGTTTCTATATTTCTAGACACTCTAGTCTCATACCTTGAGCTGAGCAGCAGCCATGTTGTTATAACTCTTCAGTCTGATGTCATCCATCTGTTTTACTATCTCACTGTCTGTCTATGAAATTTAAAGAAAGCAGAGAAAAATTCAATGTGAGTCAGAAATAAAAGTACATGGGATTCAATCAATCTTCAAGAGTGGCTGACACAATTACAGAAAATTCTATTGTTTCCTGAACCTTGCCTTGAACTTAACATTTATAGATCAAGGCATCCAATGCAATTTTAGGGACTTTCAACCTCAAGGTCGATTTTCTGGTCATTCTTTTAATGTAGTAAGTTGAATCAATCCTATTCCATAGCATACTGATATCTGTGAGGCAAAAATGCAATGCTGCTGATGGAAAACGGTTGGTTATTTTGTGTCGTAGTCTGGTTCTTGGGCAAGACACCTCGCGTAGCTTGTTTGTGGGCTATTTCAAATGCTTCAATTATGAAATGATGATGAAGATGTGCTAAGAAATGGCAGCAAATGTCAATATCAGATAAATTTCCTCATCCACAATATAGTTTTGTTTTACCTTTCTGAAATTGCATTGGGTGCGTTAATCAATAGCTACAATGACACTATTCTGTCTGTCACAGACAACACTGTCACAAATTGAATATATTTTGCTCTTAAAATGTATTAACATGTTCTACCTCGGGTTTCTCCTTGGATGGTGATTCAAGTATCTTCACAGCCCTGCAAAAAAAGACAAGAGAAAACCTGTTTTGCCATGAAGTTTTAATTTTAGGAATATCTATAAAATACATTATGCAGTATAGTCACTTTGAAAAAATAGTGCAACCTTCATATGTTTGAAAACTGTAATATCTCTAAATGTATTATTTATGGTTGAGGGAGAGCTACAAGTACATGTATACAAATACACAATATATCTAACCCAGACCCAACTTACTGTTCATAACAGTGACATGCCAGCATGTAGTCATTGCGGCTATACCACCAGTTCCCTCTTTCTCTCTTCTTATCCCTGAGGAAAGGGCAGTTTGTCACATAATGTACATATGTAGTGTGTATATAGAATACAACAAGATGTGTTCTGTATCACCAGAGGTACCAGCCTGGCCACATAGATCGCCCGATGCTGCAAGGCATGATCTGATAGGGGAGAAAACACGCCTTTCAAAACAAAATGAGCCAAAATTTGGTATCCCTAAACAAAAAAATGCAATGACATCAATTCCAACGGCTGAATCCGTTGTTCAAATTTTTGAACCTGGTGCACATAGCTCACACCTTCAAATTCTTGTATGGTACATTTGGAAGCCCGTGTGGACTGTGATAACCAAATAGAACCCCGGGCTGTACCGCTAGTTATCACACAGGCCGGAACACTTGTATCAAACGTTATCACAGCCCTAAGGTATGACATAAAACATAATACAGTCAGCATGTCTTTCTTTTGACATTAACTGTTGAGTAATTTATTTATTTATTCATCTTAAGGACGTATGGGTTGTCCCTTTTTCCAAGGGAGCCCAATTACAATGACAAATAACATATAAAATACAAAAAGTAATATAACATAAATAGATTAACATAAATTATATAAAAATACAATAATAATCGATGGTCATTATGGTCATTATGGAGGTCAGAGGTCAAAATTCCAACTTAGGAAATAATAAAACATATGATAACTGAGAGGTCAAAATTCTACAGTCCAACCTTTGCAAAAATATTCTACATGTAGAAGATAGTCCAATTTATAGACATGATTAAATAATTTATTAGATCAAGTCAACCCTAGATGACATGCTTTTGCAAAGATTAAGTTGCATTTACAAAAAACAACTATATTTTTAGGGCAGCATTGTATTTTGTTGTTACCCAAGTTTGCACTTGTCTTCTGCACTCATAGTGAAGAGGTCCGGCTTGTTCTCTGCATTCAGCAGCTGCAACTCATAAGTGATGGTAGCATTTTCTGGAATGTCTGGTTCTCTGCAATAAAATAGGGAAACATGTAACATGGCTGACAAGTTTCCACAAATACATGTAGTTTCATCAGGTTGGTAGACTATAGGATATAAGGGTATCTATCAAAAGAAAACCCCTACTAGTATATCCTTGAGGCTAACAAGTTATATATTACAAGTATGTTATACATTGCTTATCACATTGTTTGTTTGGGGTAGGCCCTTTGAAAAACCACCTAGGTTTCTGGCCTACCCCGCATATTCTCTGAATGTTATTATTTGATTATGAATTTTTTTAATACATGTGCAAATAATAAATAAACAAATAAACAAACAAAACATTTTCTTGTTTCTTTTTGTCTGGAAAAGCAGTAAATGTGGTTACAATGACAAAGAACTACACTTTGATTTAGTAGTACAATGTAGATACAAATATCAAATAACAATAAACAGCATCAGGTTTGGTAAATGATATCGCCTTGCTGGCACTTAGCCTTGATTAATCTCATATTGAAAGTTTTCTAATTTCTTGATAATACCCCAATGTTCTTACCTTCCGAGAGCTCCATATGCGTACAGGGCATCTACAATTACTTCACATGTCTCTCCCATGCCCATAAGTGACACACAGAGATCCCAGGCTATGAAACAGGAGAAGAAAACACTTTGTCAGGACCGAGAATATAATTAACATCGTTGCTGTTAACTTTGTCTATAGCTCATCTGGTGTACCTGGTGAATACAGTCATAAATTCATAGCAGCGTTTTAGTGTCTGTGCTTAAGATTTCATACAGGTACCCACATACCAAATATCATCACAATCCATAAAGGCCTTCTTAAGTTATGCTGACCACAAGCTTAAGTATGCAGAAACACACACACACATAAGCACACACACAAACACAGTCAGTCCAAAAACAATTTTGCTATAGAGCTAATAAATTAAAGGTAACATAAATGCGTTATGCTTACCTTTGCATATGGTCAGTGCTCTGTTAATTCTTACTCAAACACATTTCATATATTTGGTGACCATGCAACCCCTCTTGAACTCAGTTCTGCATCTAAATCCCTCCTGCTTATAAATTGCAACATGATGTAACCAAACACCAGTTACCATGGTGACAGATGTCTGGTTCAGGTCATTGACCTTATTTGTTTGGATAAGAACAAGAGGAAACAGAGCAAACTAACAGAAGGAAAACATGAATATTTGACCTTGCAATATCAAACTGTTAGTAATAGCTCAACATATTCTATACCTTGGATGACATCTCCCTCCTGCAGTCCAAAAGTGATCTCGTCATGCTGGTCCACCGTCGTGCCATCCTCTAACCTCCCCCCTGCTCCAGATGGTCACCTCCTGACCTGGGCGGGGCCGGGTGCTCTCATCCCCTCCCTTCACTATCACCTACATGTAAGGGACAGGTGCACTTATTAGTCATTAGATAGCTTTAAACAATGTTTAGAGTTAGATGTTCAAAGGTTAGGTGTGACAAGTCGTTCGGTGTAATGTAGCCAGATGCCGCCGCGCCGCGTGCAAAGCTGGTGTGTTATGCCGAAGTATACAGATAAAGACACAGATACAGATTATTAGTAGTGGAC